GGATAAACTCAAAACGTACTGCATAGATTTACTTCAAATGTGGCACGAATATTATTAAGAAGTCGGGTCAACATATAGGCTACATATTATCACGCTATCACCTACGGGGAACGAGCAGTGAACCTTTATTTGTAACTAACTCCACGCTTACGAAGTCGCGTGTGGCCGCTAGTTTTAGAAATAAAGCTATTTACTACGTAAATTCGGGGCAGTCTGAATATTTAGCCTCAATTACCTTTTTATAATTATGGATTTAGTATAGTATAGTAGACAGAGCATGTAATTAAAATAAAGATAAAGTATAATCGATTGTCTATGGAATGAACTACTTAATCTAGGTTATCTTTTTTTGTTATTTGCGATCTTGAATCAATGTTTATAATACTGCACAGTCTAAAATCAATATAATTATTTAATCTAGGCACAGACCAGGAGATTATAATAATTATCGAAAAAAGTTAGGACCTTGGCCTCTGCTCTATTGCCTGCTGCGTCAACAAATAAATTGCAAAATAAGTTTTCAGTTGGTAAGCACGCTTAATCGATGGCGTTTTGAAATATGGTTTTCAACACAAGAAAATTATTTTAATTAGTACCTTTAGAATGTCAATTGGCAGTAAATTCATTACGAAAGACTCGGTTTCCTTAGTAAATATTCTAAAAGAGCCACTATATGCTAACTAATGAGTACTTTATAATAAACAGCCATCATCATTTACTCACAAAAACACTAATTAGAAGTGCACATCTTGAGATACTCAATCTTATTTAATTATACTTTATTACCTACAGTAGTTCTAAATATCTAAACTAAAGCAAATCTTGTAAAAGATACACACATCAAAAAAGTCTAAACAACACGCATCTTTACAGAAACATTATGTTTTTATTATTTGATATATTTTTTTTTCTCAACAAAGTAGATGGGTCAATGGTACAATTGGTAGATGGTACGATCCTTTTTGTTCTCCGAAACATAACCGGCTGATTTTAAAAATAGAAAATTTATGATTGTGTTTTGTTTTCATAAAAATAAAAATATATTACAATAGTTACAACCGTTCAAAATTTCAAAGCCGTAGATTTTGCTTACACTTAATTGATTTAAAGATCACTCAGCCTCGACATTGAACTTAATAAATATATGGCACTGACCTATACATGGCTGCTCCTGAGATGTGCACGAGAGACGAGTCAAATAGTTCCACACACGTTGCCTTATAAACCCAACTAGATCCCGCGCAAAACAACAACACTAGTACCTACACAGTGGCGCCACGCGGCAAAATCGGAAAATCGAACTTTCCGCGGAAAAGTGACGACCAACCGCTACCAAAGACTGGTGCTACAATACTATGGCGAGAAGAAGCAAATAGTAAAACAAGCAGAAAAATGGCGGGGTACACACAGCACAGCACAGGTAATGCGCCGGAAATTACACGATTTTTTTTTCACTCAATACGCATGTAATTATTAATTAAACGATTATTTACCGAACAAAAGTCTTGAGGTTTTTATTTAATCAATAATAATGTAATTAAACTACATGGAAGTTTAAGTAGGCAAGTATTAGTAAAAAAACTTTCTGTAAATCACACTAATATTATATAGGCGAAAATTTGTGGTGTGTGAGTGTGTATGTTGTTTGTTCACGTCTAAACGGCTGGAGCGATTTTAATAAAATTTCGTATGGAGTTAGCCGACACCCTGAATTAACACATAGGCTACGTTTTACTGCGGGAAAATGTCCCTAATAAACCGCGGGCAGTGCCATCTTTGACCTATTGGAGGCCCTGGGCAGATTAGGATAATGGGGCCCCTATGACTTCCGTTAGGTGATTTAACAGGAACTAGGGACTTTGTATTTGATCTAAGGGGGCCCCCTGTCGATCGCGGGCCCTGGGCACTTGCCCAAAGTGCCCAATGGGAAAGACGGGTCTGACCGCGGGTAACACCGCGGGGCACAGCTAGTTATAAATAGATAGGACTCATAAAACCAATGAGACATAGGTATCTTTAACTAAATTAATTTGTACTTGGACTGTTTGTCGATGACTCTTCGGTATTTGTACGAGTATTAACGGTATGTTAACATTTAAAATAATATGTAATAATTACAAAATTATTCCATAGCATCCGCATGCCATATTGCTTACAGTGGAATTTAATAATAATAAAATGCGAATAGTGTGAAATATCTATAACAAACTTAGTTAACATGCAACATTTGTCTGCTCGAATTAGTTCGCAAGTCTGGGGAGGTAACCTCTACCTTACAAAAGATCACAGTCGAAACCATAGTTAAATAAAAATAATTTTTGGTGGTGTTGTGGATCTGTTGGTGAGTTAGTTTCCAGGGTTCCATAGGGGGCGGGAGAGAGACGGAGAGAACTACGCTCTCCCTCCCACTCCTGTGAGAGCCACGGATCTGCCCTTGGAGGACTGGCCCGTATTGCACAAGCTCTCTTGATGCTGATGCCCCTAATATTCCAGGGCATCTTCATCGGGGTGGGTCCGTTTGCGGACAATCATCTTGCGGAAGCGCAGGCAGTAGGCAACGGTTGCCGAGACCACACTCGCACTCCCGGTGTGCTGCGGAGGGGCTAAGATCCTCAGAATGTACGCCGGGTTACCGGTCAGGGTTCCTAACTTAGGGGTTTTACCCCCAGATTTAGGGGCTAGAAGGGTTAAAACGGACTTTTTTAGGGGCTGGAATTTTTTGGGGGTTCTTTTAGGGGCTTTTAACAAAATTTTCAATTAAATCGAAAAAGAAAGCGTGTTTTTTCTTTCAGTTTTGTGCGTAGAATGGAACGCACCACGATATGAAACGACTGAACTCACTGTGTGGCAGGTTGTTTCCTAAGGCTGTATGGACTAAAGTTCTTTGCCTTCCACCAATCAAAACAGCTAAATAAGATTTAACAGCCTGTCAGCTCATTTTCGTTTGTTTTTCCATTCGGAAAATGTATTTATTCAATAAAATAATTTACTGTAACTAAATATGTAACGTTTTAATTTATGAGCAACGAAAGAATTTAGGTAATAAGATAAGAAGGTACATATAAATTTCTATATTTAGGGGATTTTAGGGGAATTTAAAAAATACTTAGGGTAAAATTTTGGTAAGGGTTGGTAACACTGTGACCGGTGCAGGAGTATTGTCTAGTTTTTAGTGGCCCTGTTCAGGCGTTAGGTAGGGCCCTGCTAATTTCAGCCAACCCTTGGGATAATATGGATAAATATGGATAGGGAGGAGTCCCACATACCTTCTTCTCGCTCCCCCGGTGGTTGAAGGATGCGTAAGGCATTTCCCAGACAAAAAAAATATAAAAGTGTAGGGTAGGCAAGGCGCGAGTGACATTTTTGGTATCGGCCGCTTACCGTAAGGCGAGCCATATGCTTATTTGCCACCCTTTTAATATAAGGAAAAAGTAAGTCCATGTTAGTTTATAAACACAAAATGAAATATGGTTTAAGAGCCTCGTAAAAGAGTCATTTTTTATTTAAATAGAATAGATTTAAGTCTAAAATTGAAAAACAAAAATCTTATTGAGTTATCTGTGTTTTGACCCCTTTACCCCAGTCCCCGTAGCATGAGCACCACGATTTACATTATTAAACGTTTTTAACGCGTCTGACTGTCAAACTCCATAGTACTTTGACAATTGAGCGTGATAAAAATAAGTTATGTATCATATCGCGGTGGTCATGCTAGGCAGGTAAAATAGGGTATTTGACAAGTTTTAGAAAACGATCTCACGTTATTGACTAATGTTTATGGAGTCCGTAAAAAGTTGTTCATCATTCTGTTGGTATTTCAGTAAAAATAACCAAATCAAAAACTTCATTTTCAAGTTGTCACGAAAACGTGTCGCTGGACAATATGGCGTCTTACTAGTGTGTGACGTCACACGACTGTTATTAAAACGTCAAACGATACAACGAAATGTCACTTTAACCGGAAGTTTACTTGCGTGTGACGTCATTTTAGGCTCCGCCAATCCCTACTAGCGTTTTGGGTCACGTGACAATAGATAAGAAAACTAATATCTTTTTCGTGGGTTTTTAGTAAAATTATGAATACTTTTTTTTTAAATAGTAACAACCGCTGCAAATATTCAATCTAAACACAGATGCTAACAATTGGCACTTTATTTTAATACTGTCAAATACCCTACTGAAATTTGTTGGCACTTTATTTTAATACTGTCAAATACCCTACTGAAATTTGTTGGCAGCACCATGATAATAATTAAGTATCTACCCTTATCCCTTCACCTACACCTGTCTACACTTCTTAAAACTAAACGTGTACTAACTTCAGCTATTTCCAATGGATTTTATTATGTTTTACTTAAGCCGAAGTAATGTGTGACGTGTATAAATTATTAATAAAGTTGATAATTTAAGTATGAGTTTAAGCGGATTTGCTAACTAATGCAATTTATGTCATCCTTCTTTGGTCAACCCCGTATAAGCTTTATTATAGGCCAATATGTATTGCTGGAATATTTCTGTTTAAAACTAGACCCGGCGAACTCTGTACTGCCATATTTTTTAATTTTCTTTCATACAAACCTTGTCCTGGCAATAACTAGCAGCCCGCCCTCACCCCTTTTCCATTTAAAATAAATTCAAGGAGCAAATACTTTAAAAACAAACGAATCAACTACTTAAGCCTTAAGTGTTTGTACCTAAAAAGCGTGAAAAAATATCTTGCTAACATTTTTTCACTGAATTGTGATTTAAAATCACTACAATTAAAAATAGTATTTTCGTTAATGAAATTAAAAAAACTTCATAAAGTCGGTTTTATGTTTCTCAGAGTAACATCGGCTATGTTACTTAGGACTGGGTTATTTAGTTTAGCCTTATTTTAATGCTATTCATCATTTACAAAATATTGCTGTTCACGTTTCAAGGACGATTGTATCAGTTGCACTTAAATTTATTAAAGTAAATTGCTCGGCAACCAAATGAACGGTATAAACTCGTGGTACCTATGCTTTGTTTTGATTTGTCTCGGTGGCCATCTCTCCATCATGTGGTCTTCATCACAAGATCCGCATCACCAGCAGTGCTGCAGACACAAAATATTAAAATAAAAAATAATAAAAACGACGAGTTGCACTCCGGGAGTGCCGGCAGAAGTGATAACTTGAATATTAACGTTGTGCATTTTTGATATTTTGGAATGGTTAGGGAATAATTTTGCACGAATTGCTTTTCTCACTATAAAAGTATTATCATGTATGTGGTAGAATACAATATTTATTTATTGCGCTAACGTACACAAACATGACAATTTATATTATATTAAAAAAGTTTATCTCTTAGAAAAATCAACTTACATGAATCACGTTTAAGCGCACTTAGCGACATCTATTGTTAAGATATCAACTTACCTGAATCACATTTAAGCGCACCTAGCGACATCTATTGTAAAAAAATGCATTTTCTTCGCAATAAAGCTGCCACGTGGACGTCCTAGATAGAGACTTATTATTATAATACGATAAAATAAAATATTACTATGTTTCGTCCAATATATTGAAAGTCAGCAACCTCTCCAATTTTATTGTGTGTCATGATGCGATCAGCCCACGTGTTTAACCTGACGTGGGCTGAACGCACAAACCGTGCATGCCATAAAAAAAGAAAAAGAAGAAGAACCTGACGTGGGTTCAACATTTTTTACCCATACAAAAAAAAATTGTACAACGCCGCTAAAGAAGTTTTCACTTTTAAAAATGTCACGCATTATGTGTGATACAGAATAGCACTTCTGCTGGCGCTTTTCAAGAGTAAATGGACGAGTCACTAAAAAAAACTAAAGACGTGCCTATTTTTTTTATAAAAAAAAATCGATTTCGCCAGCATCCCATCCCAAAAAAAAGTATTTTCCGAATCAATCCAGCGGTATTCAAGTAATGGGCGAACTGTATAAAAAAGATTCTAGAGAAAAAAAACCTTGATGTTTCTTTCACTGATAAAATTAAGTTTTTCTAAGAAACAGTTAAGCATCCGTTGGAAATCAGCCATGGCACCCGAACAGCATATTTTATATACGACTACTTGACAAGCCAAAAGTTAACGGTTTCATTGATGGAAATAAACCTATTGCCAATACTATAGTAGGGTCTTGCGATGAACGCCAACTAAGTGCCCTAGCATGATTTTCTAAATCTAACAGAAGACTTTGCATGCCCAACTCCAGAACAGCTCTCATGGGAAATAATAATATTCTGTATGGCTCCTCGAATATATAATAAACTCCCGACATCTTTGATAGATTTACATTATTATCTGTTTAAACAGAAAATTAAGAAATTATTAATTGGTGAATGTTATTATAATGTATCAGAATTTTTAATTGACAAATGGTGATTTTATTTTATTCTATTATGTTCATAGTTACCGCAAATTTATTGACATTTGATAATTGAATTGCAAGTACATGTTGACATGTTATTTAAAGTTTTGGCCAATTTTATTGACATTTGATTTTGACAGTATTGACATGTATTAATAATTTTTGTCCATTTTATTGATATTTGATTATTTATTTAAAAATATTGACATATTATTTAAACTATTTGCCCAATTTATTGACATTTTGTTATTGTATTGACATTTTGATTTTGTAGCATGCTAGTATTGACAATTTTGTTTAGTTGCCCAATTTTATTGACATTTAATTATTGCATTGACAGTATTGAGATGTATTAACAGTTTTTGCCCAATTTACTGATATTTGATTATAATTGTTTTAAAGTATTGACATATTATTTAAAGTGGTCGCCCAATTTATTGTCATTTTTTATTGTATTGAGATTATTGACATTTAAATTTTTGTAATTTGAATCTTAGAATAATAATTATGAATATAAATAAAAATTAATTTGTATGCCGATATAGGCACAACATGTTATGTACTTAGCTAATTATCACTGAACATCTTTCTTACAAATGTTGTTACAAATAAAATTTCTCTCTTTCTTTCTTTCTAATACTAGTTCTGACATTATAAGATATGGCCGATAATATTTGGGAGCAAAAATAACAGAACAGCATTAAACCCATACCAAAAGTAAGAGACCACATAAAAAAGAGGAAAAATAAATTACGTTCCATTTGAGGTCGGAAATGGTGGCAGAAAACGGTTAATCGTGATTTAATATGTGAGAAATACAACTCCTATAAAAAAAGCAAAATTGTAGGTAATTAAGGGATTTACTCCTTTTGTTTTTACATTTTTTCACAAAACCTAAAAATATCTGCGAAATAAATAACCAAATTTTTTGGTATTTTATAAAAAAATGCTAAAAAAAAGTGTAAATACAAAAGGTGTAGATCTATTAATTACCTACACCCATTGAATATTTTTCGATATGTACTAGTAGTTTTCTCAAAAATCTCGATAAACCCATTCTTTCATTTCCCTCCCTTAAAAGGAGAATCGAGACAACGTGTTTGCATTTCCTCCATAGTCATGTAGGTATGTTTTTCGTATTCCATCAGAAAGTAGAGGTACCTAAGAACAAAAAGCGCAACAAGCTTATTTAAAAAGCAACTTTTTAAAACATATGTCATTTAAAAATAAGTTTACTTTTTCGATATAATCTATACTAATATTATAAAGATGAAGATTGTATTTGTTTGGTTGAGCGCGCTAATCTCAGGAACTACTGATTCTAAATCGAGAAAGGTTTTAAGCTATTAACATCATAATAAGACTAATAGGAGAGGAGCATCAATGAAAAATGTTGCGAAAACGGAAAAAAATTGGTGTTTCCCTGCGTGATCGAGTCAGAAATGACGAGATCCGTAGGAGAACTTAAAGTCACCAACATAGCTCGAAGAATAGCCCAGCTGAAGTGGCAGTGGGTGGGACACATAGCGAGGAGAACCGATGGCCGTTGGGGCTCAAAGGTTCTCGAATGGCGACCGCGTGCCGGACGACGCTCAGTGGGAAGACCCGCTACAAGGTGGACCGACGATTTGGTGAAGGTCGTGGGAAAACGCTGGATGCGGGCAGCGCAGGACCGATCGTTGTGGAGATCCTAGGCGGAGGCCTATGTCCAGCAGTGGGCGTCGTACGGCTGATATGATGATGATGATATGTACTAAGATTAAAAATGCGAAAGTGTCTGTTTGTCATACATGCTTCAACTGCTGAACCGATTCGGATAGAATTTGGTGTAGAAAATTTGAGTCCCGGTAAATCATCTATATGGAAGTAAAAAGGTGGTAGAATTTTGTATGGGAAAATAATTAACCTAAGCCGGTGAAGTCGCGGGAATAGGATATTTGACAGTGTTAAAATAAAGTGCCTATTGTTAGCATCTGTGTTTAGAATGAATATTGGCAGGGTTTTTACTATTTTTACAAAAAAAAACATAATTTTAGTAAGAACTAACGAGAAAGATAGTAAGAATAGTTTTCTTATCTATTGTCACGTGACCCTAAACGCTTGGGATGCTAGTAAACTTCCGGTTAAAGTGACGTTATATTGTATCGTTTGACATAGCTCTCTCCATTGCCCGCTGGGCGACCTTGAGCCGTCCTATGAGACCCATAGTAAACGACCACGCCTCACTGCCATAGGTCATCACTGGCAAGACACACTGGTTAAAGACTTTCGTCTTAAGGCACTGAGGTATTTTGGACGCGAAGATGTTCCGCAGCTTCCCGAACGCTGCCCATCCGAGTTGGATTCGACGAGAGATCTCTTTCTCGAAGTTGGACTTACCTAACTGGATTGTGTGTCCTAGGTAAACGTAGTGGTCAACAACTTCAAGTGTAACGTTCCCAACATTAACTGGAGCGGGTGCAACATGGGCGTTGGACATGATTTTCGTCTTGTCCATATTCATCTTAAGACCCACTCGCTGGGATGCGTCACTGAGATGCTCGAGCATGGTGTTCAGGTCTTCCAAGGTCTCCGCCATTAGGACTACGTCATCGGCAAATCTAAGGTGTGTCAGGTGCTCGCCGTTGATGTTAATTCCGAGTCCTTTCCAGTCCAGAAGCTTAAAAATATCCTCCATCGCAGCAGTGAACAGTTTCGGAGATATAACGTCTCCCTGTCTCACCCCTCGCTGTAGTTGGATAGGATTAGAGCTCTGATTCTGTACTCGGACCGACATAGTGGCGTTTTGGTATAGGTACTTTAACACTTCGATATACCTGTAGTCCACTTGGCACCTCTGGAGAGACAGCAGCACCGCCCAGGTCTCGATCGAATCGAAGGCCTTCTCATAGTCCACAAACGCTAAGCAAAGTGGCCGATTATACTCTTCGGTCTTCTGTATAATCTGCCGCAGTGTATGGATGTGGTCTATCGTACTAAAGCCTTTTCGGAAACCGGCTTGTTCGGAAGGCTGGAAGTCGTCGAGCCTGCGAGCGAGACGATTCGTAATGATCCTCGAAAACAGCTTGTAGATATGGCTCAGAAGCGAGATGGGTCTGTAGTTCTTCAGTAGGGTCTTATCGCCCTTTTTGAAGAACAAAATCACCTCGCTTCTGCTCCATGCCTTCGGCGTTTTGCCCTGGTGGATGATGGAGTTGAAAAGCTTCTGGAGGACTTTAAGTACCGGCGTACCGCCCGCTCTCAGAAGCTCTGTTGTGATTCCGTCATCTCCCGCCGCCTTGGTGTTTTTAAGCTGTTTGAGGGCAATTCTAATCTCGTACAGGCTGACGTCCGGGATATCCTCGGTATAATGTCGGGTAAGCTTGGCTCTAGGATCTCGAGCTCTGCTTTCACCTGGTGTTCTGCTGGAATATAGAAACTCTCAATCTCCCTCAGGATTTCAGGAGTCGATGAAATGATACTACCGTCCTCAGTTTTCAGCCTCGTCAGTTGACTTTGCCCAATAGACAGATCTCTAGCGAACACTTTGGAGCCTTTGTTCCGCTCTATGGCCTCTTTAATACGCTCGGTATTAAAGTGTCGAAGGTCGCTCGTCAACGACTTCGAGATCTGTCTATTAAGCTATCTATAACGAAGGGCATCCGCTGAGTCCTGTAGTCTCATTTCATGTCTCTTATCCATGAGTTCGAGTGTGTATGCGGAGAGTT